GAGGGGAGAAGAAGAGAAAACCATCTTCCACCGGCTCCGAGATGCTTCAATGCCGATGTAGGTATCGTTCCTCAAGACGGAGAAATATGTGAACTAGAGAATCGTCTTCGATTCTTCACGATCCAGTTTCTAAAGTCCCAATATCGACCGTCGCGCTCAGTAGCAGGCGGAGAGTGCTCGACCGTGGAGATCAGACAAGTGTCGGAGGATGAGGAGAACCGAGGAGCGAAATCGTCGGGGAAGGGTCGGGGTGGGGAGGAGATTTCTCAGTTATATAAGTTATTATAACTATTTTTTGTATTATTTTTATTGTAGAAATGAGGTGGAATTGTAAAGGATTAAATTTTATTATTTTTTAATCGTCACGTCATTTACTTAACGGTCAACTATGAGAGTTGACTGTCACATCAGACAAAGTTAACGGAGTTGGACGGAGAGTGACCAAATTTGAACTGTTGAACTAATTCCAATGACCGCGAATGGAATTAAATATTTGTAGTGACCAAACGTGAATCTTTTTAGTAAACTCGGTGACCAACGTTGCAATTAACCCATTAATTAGCTACTAATTTGGACAAGCAAAAAGGAAGGTGAGAAGGAAAACCCCATTAACTCACATATATAAAAAAAAACAAAAAAATTGATCTACTTTCATTTGTTAAATAAACAAAAGCTCCGGTTTAAAACCGGTACAACGTTCGGCTCCCCGACGAGGGAATTTGCTCTGTCTTCTTATTATTAAATAAATCCCACTCTCTCTCACCAAGCTGCACGCTTCCGAGTTCCGACTAGACTACATATGGCACGGCTCTGTAAATCTTCAATACTATTGGTTTGTCTACATTGCGGTGCCGATTTGATTAATGCTCTGGAGTTTTATGTTTTTTTTTATCGGAAATCTGGTTAATATTATTAGAGAAAAATCAGTTTCGGCCCACAGGCCTACATTCCAAATCGGTCTCCATCATACATAGGAGATTAATCGGTGGGTTATCCACCCAAACCACTTGATGATTTCAACCCGACCCAGAGTGGGCTAACCAATGATCAATAGAGTTCGTTTTCCTCGAAGAGAATCGCCACTTGATCTTTTCACCCGAGATCCTTTCATTCACCGAAGCCTGTTCCTGGCGTTTTATGTCATGTTGTCGTTGTTGTTGAACCCGGGAGCAATCATTATTATTTTCCCTTTTTATTAGATTCTTGCTACTCCAATGATATTTTTCTTCAATTTTGAAGATGTGTCTGAAATTTTGTTAATAGCATTTACAGAGTAGACACATAATATGCAAAGTAAGAAAATAATGCATTATTTGGTATTAATAGCATTTACAGAATAGACACATGACATGCATGGAAACTTGATAACGAGAGTCTTCTATGAAGTTTGTTCATTCCCACTCACCATGCCCAGATAATTAATAAATTATTATTAGTGATTTAATTTCTGATAAATCACAAGTTCGAACCAAAACATGCATGCCCTATTTTTTTATATAAAACAAAAGGAAAATTTTAGTTAGTTATATTCAAGATCGGATAAGGTTGGTACATAAATTTAGTGAGTTATAATTCCCATCCCACAAGAACAATGTGATGTCTTGATCCCATCAGACAATGTCTGGATTCTCATATGGTAGATTATTTTCATGAATTTTCCACAGCTAAAATACTACCAATAATTACAAGGATCATTGTTTTCTGTTTAAAAAAACAAATACATATGAAGTGAAACTCCTAGGCAAGAATGGACTACAAAAATGTCACCATCATATCAATAATTTAGGAATTACGTTGATCTGTATATTAAAGTATGACCTCAATTATGTAATTGATTAGGTCATGTACTCTTGTTGTATGCAATAAGATTGCTATTTTTAACTAATGTATTTTTTATGTATAACTTTGAAGGTTTCAAGAATGTATTTTTAAAAAGAATGTCTATAACTTTTTGCTAAGAAGAATGTAATAGAATAAATCTCATTGGTTCTGCATGTGTTGTGGTGAGACTGTGATTTTTCCAAGTTTTTTTTAGGGATGTTTCCAGGTTAACATACACGCATATACCATCCTCTTTTTTAGAATTAGTGCTTTTCCCCATAATGGAATCTTCAGGATTGGCTTATGCAATACCTTATCTGCATTTATCGTTATATGGGTTGTTTTCTTGATCTTAAAATGATAATAACGAATATTTTTAATGTTTTCTATCTAAAATTATAAATGGCATACTCATTGGGTTGACTTACCCCAACCCCAGACCCATAATAAATTATCCGACCTGAACCCGACCTGTCGCGCCTACCCCATTGCCATTCCTAGTTGGAGGTTGAAGTTACCTGGCGGTCTCTTTTGAAGTCCAAAAACATTGTGTTGTCGTAGGCAAGATCGGGACAATTGAAAAATTGCCTACATCAAGTCCAGACATGATCAAATGTAACAATGATAGGGTCGTCCTAAAGACAAATTTGCAGACTGGATGCCACATTGGTGGAGATCTCGTGACAACCTCCTTCCTCCCGAATGAGGTGCTCTCAATTCCGACAATGACGTTCACCCTACATTAGGCAACTAATGAGTAGCAGAACAGTAGACGTCTGAGTTATTAGGATTGGTTGGTTGGCTCTTCATTAAATAATTTCTAATCCACAATTCCTTGCTTCAATTATGTTTGATGGTGTTTTAGAGAAGATACAAGATTCTTGTTGTGAACTATGCATGGATATAGCTTCATCGAGGAACATGCAGGTAGAGAAACAATTCATATGATATCTTGGTTGATCCATTTGCAGATTAGTTCAGCGTCATGTTACTATCTACGAGTTTTCTCCATTTCTTCAGCTTGAGCCATGCATCCCCGAAAAATGTTTGGGTTCGAAATGTTTCTAGCCATGGTTGGTGTCTTCCGATGATGTATTTAGTAAGTTATTTACTGTTGATCTCCAAATAACGAACGCACGACGGGAGGATACATGAGATTCGACAAATTAACACAACTGTTTAATCTCCTGTTATAATATCCCGTGATAAACACACCGCATAAAGTTGTCTCTTGAATCTCGATTAGTAGTTTAGGAGAGTCAAGGTGACGCGTGACAGCCTCACGCGTCGGGAACTAGAAATACGAAAACTGAAAGAAACTGAAAATACTTGAGTTTATTCTTCTTTTTGATAAATAAAACGCAAGATTAAGTACATATTTATAGGAGAGTCTCCATAAACCTAACCCCCCTTAAACATGGTAACCCTAACCTAGTCCTATGCTTACTAGAATTACCGACTGAATAAGAATAATAATCTGAATACTAATCCGACAATAACTAATAAACCGAAAGAATATCCAAATAATTATAATAAAAGGGTAGACCCGCTCTACCAGCCCCTGCCCGGTCCGCACAAATGCATCACAAGGAGTGGTTACACAGTTCTATATGAACATTGAAGAGGACTGTGTAGTGTAATACAGAAGAGTAAGAGAGAAGAGGACACTGACTCTACATGGGCGTTGGGCCGTGCTTGAGCAAATACGGTCCAAGCACGCTTCAGACCCATTTATTTTGTGCCGTGCTTGGCACGATCCTTCAGTTTTCGTGTCGTGCCGTGCAAGTCTATTTGTTACTTTTGTTAGGTCCGGTCAGGGCCCGGGCGCGGTTTGAATCGTGTCGTGCCTACTCGTGCTCATGTCATGCTCATATTTGTGTTTAACGAAAAGGAAGAAAATAAAAGAGGGAATGAAAAAGAAGGAAAAAATTGGACGGAGTATAAAAGTTTTAACCGAGAATATTTGAGAAACATAACAACAAAGGGGGAAAATTTTTGGAAGCGTAACGAGTTACTTTGTTAAATTCTTCGTCCATGTTTTGTTATGGTAGTAATTACGTATATATCTTAATAATCACTTCTAACGACAATAAATAATTATTTTTGTACTTATATTTGTGATATTTGAACCTAGTATTCTTGTTTATATATTTTTTTATCAAATTAATATTCTTTTTGTGCTATTTTCGTTCTTTCACCCAATTAGGTTTTGAAAATATTAGGCCCGCCACGGCCCATTTACATACCAAGTCGTGCCCGTGCGGCCGTGCCCATTAAGTTTAAGCCCGACACGACCGGTAAAAATTTCGTACTCGTGAAGGGCTGACCCATATATTTCGTGCCCGTGCTTGTGTCGGACTTTAACCGTGCCGTACAAGCCCGTGAACGGCTCGGCCCGGTGCCCACGTACAAAGACCGACTCAATCCCCCTCTCCCTATCTCATAAGTCATAAATACCCTTCCAAATATTCCATTGAACAGTAAAATGAAAGTCCTTGTCTAGTCTCTCCCCTTTCCAAATTCAGATATAATGAATGATTTCTCCACATCTAGCCAGTCAGCCATTTCTCCGAGTCCTTGCAAACACCGCCGTTATATATTTACACCTCTGTCCTTCCTGATCTGCTACGTACCCAGCCATATTCCCTACCTCTCTCTATTATTCATAAATTCATTTTGTGGAAAGAGAGAGTGAATAAGTTCAGTGGCTCTGCTCTCCATTTAAGTCCTCCTTAATTCACCCAGAGTGTATGGTAAAAAGTTACTCTCTTGAGTCTTGAGTCTTGACACAGTGAGAAGGTCGTTTACCGTGTATTTATCTGTTTTTTCTTCTTTTTGAAATACTTTCCTTTTCATCAGTACCTTTTTTTTAATACATTCCCTTCTCCTTCCTTCATCCCTCCTTTCTTCTCTCCCAGTGGTCCATCGAAAACACCCACTTTATAAACCAGATAAAAGAGGAAACACTCTCTCTCTCTCTCTCTCTCTCTCTCCATTGCCAATCTCCTCCGCTGCTTTTGAGGGTGAGGGGGTTTGTTTGTCCATCTCTTTCGAAGCGGGTGCTTATCTCCATGCAACCAAATCATAAGCCACTCATCATATAATCATCATCATCATCATCATCATCATAAAAGCTCAAAAACAACAAGGCAACCCTTTTTCTATTTGGGTGTATGATGATGAGAAGTAGTAGTAGTAGTAGAAAGGACCCTTCATCACCACCACACTTCCCCGATCTCTCCCTCCACATCAGCCTCCCCTCCACCGCCGCGGCGGTGGCCGACCTTTCCTACAGTGAGAGCAGCAGGAGTAGCGGTTCCACCACTACGGATTCCGGCGGCAGCGATTCCAGCCACGACCACTCCAAGAACAAGGCTGCCCACGGCTTCCTCAGATTGGGGACGCTCGACGGTCATGTTGATCATCCTTATTATCACCAACAAAGCCATCACTCGATGATGGGGGGTCGTTCCGCTTCTTACCACCACTATCAGCCGCAAATCTACGGCAGGGATTTCAAGAGAAGCGGCGGTGGCGGTGGAAGGAGGAGCGTTAGAGCGCCGAGGATGAGATGGACCACCACCCTCCACGCTCATTTCGTTCACGCCGTCCAGCTCCTCGGCGGCCATCAAAGTAAGTCCACCTCATCATCCATTTATTTTATTTTGGAATTATTTGAAATTGGTGGACACTTATATACAAGAATATTTCCTATATATATATGTGTAATAGGAGCGACGCCGAAATCGGTGTTGGAGCTGATGAACGTGAGGGATCTAACCCTAGCTCACGTCAAGAGCCACTTACAGGTATTTTTTTTTTCCATTAGGGTGATTTAAATTAAAAAATTTTATATTAATCAGGTATTTAAGTGATTCCATTATTCCAACACGAGACCCTCTTCTTGTTCTGATTGTGCCTTGGTTGGTGCCTGCAGATGTATAGAACGGTAACGGACAAAGGACTACCACCAGGTAATTGTACATTACCGTTTATTTTAACTCTCTCTCTCTCTCTCTCTCTCCTGACATTCAGAAAATGTAATGATGTAGTATTCTTATACGGTCTACAGGAGGAGAGATTACAGAGAAAGACGATGATGATCTGAACCAAATTCCTGGCCATGGAATCAGTCATTCCTGCAGTGATCATGATAATGGTGAACAAGACATGATCGATGAAGTTGAAGCAGCAGCAGATAATGAAACCGACTCTTCTCCTCATGTTTTCCTCATCAATAACCAACCACCCCAAAAGTGAGTTCTTTAATTCTCTTTTTCGAGTTTCCTCTATTAATTAAGTTTGATTAATTAATGGAGGCTTATTGCTCATTAATGTCTCATTAACTAACTTGTTTATTTTCCATAAGCCCACAAAAAGAGAGTCAAGTAGTGTGCTTTCAGAACAACAAATTACAAAAAGACATATTGATAATAATCCACAACCCATTTAACACCCACATCCACACACACCAAAGGAACAAACAAGAAACATTGTTGGCCTTTCACCCAAAAAAAAAAAAAAAAGAAGCATTGATATTTATGCATATTAGCATATATTTAGGTTATACTAGATAGAACCAGATGGTACAGTAATTATAAGCTTATCAGAGTTGTATTATTTTTCGTGTGGTTTTACCAATATCTCGATGTAGTGGTGAGGATTAGGGCTGCAAACGAGCCGAGTCGAGTCGAGTAGCCACCCATGAGAACCAATGCATCGAAGCTCTCGAAGTAGCCACCCATGAGAACCAAAGCGGCATCCAAGCGATCCTCGATCAATTGGCAGCCGTTCAGTTGACAGTCACCCAGATTGCTCAAGATCGAGCTGGCAGATCCGAAGACGGGGACCGATCAGTCACTGGTCGGGCTCGTAGGCCACAGCAGGACGGCGATGATGAGCATGACCGGCAACCGTTCTTTGGAGCCAAACTTGCCCGATTGGAGTTCCCTACGTTTGCAGACGGTGATCCCACAGTCTGGTTCTCTCGAGTCGAGCAATTCTTCGAATTCCAAGATGTGCCGAATGACCAAAAGGTGAATGTGGCGTCATACCACCTCGAGGGCGACGCAAACCAGTGGTGGCAATGGCTCCGACGCACCCATCAGACCGAAGGCATCCACATCACGTGGGATATATTCTCGTCGGAACTCTGGGCCCGATTTGGGCAAACGACAGGAACTGGCTTTGACGAGGCTCTATCGCGCATTCGGCAGACAGGAACGCTGAATGAATACCTGACAGAATTCGAGCGATTGGGGAATCGCGTCCATGGTTGGACACAACACGCGTTGGTGGGCACATTTATGGGCGGCCTCAAGCTGGAGATCGCTGACGGGATCCGCATATTCGGCCCCCGAACTCTGAAAGACGCTATCCACCTCGCTCGCGCCCGCGACGAACAAATTGGCCGCCACCGCAGTCCTCCGCGCCAGCCGTACCGTTCAGCTATGGATTACACCACTCCACCTCGGCCCAAGCCGAGAGCTACATACGACGCCACCTTTCAACCACGGCCGAGGCCACCGCCCGCGATCGAAACAGAAACGAATCAACCCATGGCTCCTACCAACCCACGGACACGGCCGCCGGGATCAAAGCGCATTGGCTATGAAGAGGTGCACCGTCGCCGACAACTGGGTCTTTGCTTCAACTGCGATGCTCCATACTCGGCAACTCACCGTTGCAAGGGCGGCAAGCTGTGGATGATGTGGGGCGATGATGACGATGAGTACGACGGGGATAATCCCGAGGAAGCGGAGGTCTCAGTTCATGCCATGGCGGGCTGGACCACTGGTCGAACTCTTCGAATATGGGCCAAGGTAGGCCGAACACGCTTAACGGTGTTGGTCGATAGTGGATCGACCCATAATTTCATTAGCAACAAAGCGGCGGAGCTACTTCACCTTCGCATTTCACCAATATCAGCTCTGCAAGTAAAGATAGCTGATGGCAGTCCCTTGGAGTGTCTCGGCAAGCTTGAACGAGTTCCGTTGGAAATACAAGGCACCATTTTTCCAGTAAGCTTGCATGCCATTAACCTCTCTGGATTTGATATTGTTTTGGGTGTGCAATGGCTAGCCACATTGGGGACAGTACAAAGCAATTGGCAAACATTGGAAATGGAATTTTTCTGGAACGGACACCTCCAACGACTTCAGGGCATTACTCGAGGGCCACCCACAGAGGCCAGCCTTCGATCCATTGCCAAAGACGACCATGACTTCATGGCTATATGCGTGGCCCCCGTTTCACCGGATCCCTTGCGCCAAGTTCCCCCGGAACTACACGCATTAATCCGCGAGTTCGGCGATTTATTCGAAGAGCCCAATCAGCTTCCCCCACCACGGGCCATTGAACACAAGATCGAGCTCAAACAGGGCGCTGAGGCAGTGAACGTCCGCCCCTATCGCTATGCACACTTCCAAAAGGCTGAGATTGAGTCCCAGGTCAATCAAATGCTCTCCGCCGGCCTTATCCGGCCTAGCACGAGTCCATTGTCGTCCCCGGTTCTCCTCGTGAAGAAAAAAGATGGCACATGGAGGTTCTGCACCGACTATCGCGCCTTGAACCTGGTCACCATCAAAGATCGCTTTCCCATTCCAACGGTAGAAGACATGCTCGATGAACTCCATGGGGCGACATATTTCACTAAACTGGATTTACGAGCGGGTTACCACCAAGTTCGTATGAACGCGGCCGATATTCACAAGACTGCTTTCCGCACCCACAACGGTCATTACGAATATTTGGTCATGCCATTCGGTCTTTGCAATGCGCCATTGACATTTCAAGCTATAATGAATGACATCTTCCGCCCTCTTCTTCGTAAGTCCGTCCTGGTTTTCTTTGACGATATTCTCATTTACAGCCCGGACAAGGCCACCCATCTACAGCATGTGCGTCGAGTGTTCAACATTCTCCGGCAGCATCAGTTCTACATCAAATTTAGCAAATGCGCATTCGGGTTAAAGGAAATCGAGTATCTGGGCCACTTCATTTCCGGCGAGGGAGTTAAAGTGGATCCTCGCAAAATCTCGGCCATGCTGGATTGGCCGCCGCCCAACAACACTACTGAACTTCGGGGTTTCTTGGGCCTCACCGGCTACTACCGCAAGTTTGTTCGCCATTACGGTCTCATCGCACGGCCTCTTACCAACTTGCTTAAGAAAGGTCAGTACCATTGGAGTGACGAGGCCGCCGCGGCTTTTCAAGCCCTCAAGCAAGCTATGACGTCCACACCAATTTTGGCAATGCCTGATTTTTCCCGGCCATTTATCATCAAAACGGATGCGTCCGGCTCGGGGCTTGGGCGCTGTGCTAATGCAAAACGACCGTCCCATCGCTTTCCTTAGCCGTGCTCTCGGTAAGTCGAAGGCTAGTCTCTCCACTTATGCGCGGGAAATGTTGGCGGTGGTCACCGCTGTCCAAACTTGGCGGCCCTATTTATTGGGCCGACGCTTCACGATCCGCACCGACCAGAAGAGCATCAAGCATTTATTGGATCAACGTGTTACCACACCCGAGCAGCAGCAGTGGATCTCTAAGCTTCTTGGATACGATTACAAAATCGTATACAAGCCCGGCCCAGAAAACAAGGCGGAGGATGCCCTCAGTCGTCGACCCCATGACTCCACCCTCCTCGCTGTCTCCATGCCCTACACGGTTCTATGGGACTCTCTCCAATCTACGGCAGCTACACACCCATATATGATAAAGGCAAGGGAGCGTGTGAACTCTTCAAACCCAGGCCCTTTTTCCATTCGTAACAATATGGTTTTCCGCCGCGGCAGGGTCGTGATTCCGCCTAACTCCACCCACATCAGTCAACTCCTCCATGAGTTTCACGCCACTCCAATGGCCGGCCACTCGGGAGTGCTGCCTACGTACAAACGCTTGGCTGCTCAGTTCTATTGGCCGTCGATGCTGGAAGATGTGAAGCGCTTTGTGCGCGCTTGTGATATTTGTCAACGCGCCAAGGCTCAATCTCTCTCTCCGGCAGGTCTCCTCCAACCCCTACCGATTCCCACCCAGGTTTGGGAAGATATTTCGATGGATTTCATCGACGGGCTTCCTTCCTCCAATGGCAAAACGGTGGTTCTGGTGGTGGTCGATAGGCTCACGAAATCGGCCCACTTTCTGCCGCTTTCGCACCCTTACACAGCCCGTTCGGTTGCTGATGCTTTCCTGGCTGGGGTCGTCCGCCTCCATGGTCTTCCACGTTCGATTGTTAGCGACCGCGATCGGGCCTTCACCAGCAACTTCTAGCGTGAGTTGTTCCGACTCTCCGGTACCCAACTCGCCATGTCCTCCGCCTATCATCCCCAAACGGATGGGCAAACCGAGGTCGTCAACCGTTGCCTCGAACAATTCCTCCGCTGTTTCACGAACCAGCACCCTCGCCGTTGGCTCATGTTCCTCCCTTGGGCTGAGCTCTGGTACAACAGCTCCTTCCACAGCGCAGCAGGTATGCCTCCGTTTAAAGCGTTGTACGGTCGCCTTCCCCCTCTCATTCCATTCTACAGGCCTGGTTCCACATCGGTCCATGAGGTCGATCAGGCACTCCTCGACCGCAATGCTATCCTCGATGAACTCTAGCTCAATCTCCGCGAGGCCCAAAACCGCATGAAGCAGCAGGCTGATAGTGGTCACCGTGACTTGACATTTGCTGTTGGCGACTTGGTCTACTTGAAGCTCCATCCCTACCGTCAGCATTCGGTCTTTCGTCGGGCCTCCCAAAAACTTGCTTGTCGCTATTTCGGGCCTTACGCCATCATCGAGCGCATTGGGCAAGTGGCGTACCGCCTCGCTCTTCCTCCCGGCAGTCGTATTCATCCTGTCTTCCACGTCTCCCTTCTGCGTCCGTGCCATTCCCCTTCACCGGTTCCCAGTACGGAGTTGCCCCCCGTTGTGGAGGATGGTTCGTTATTTCTTCATCCCCAAGCTATTTTGGATACTCGCTGGACGCGATGTGGGGGTCGCATTGTGGAAGAAGTGCTGGTCAAATGGCTCCACTTATCGGAGGATGACGCAACCTGAGAGCTGGCGTCCGTCTTCAACGATCGTTTCCTCCGGCTCGGCCTCGAGGACGAGTCCGCTGCTCAACAGGGGGGTATTGATGGACCTCAGACGCTACGTCACAATGATGGGCCTCCCCGCCGTCACAATGATGGGCCTCCCCGCCGATCAACTCGACCAAGACGGCCCAGCACGAGCTTGGTCCACTATTAGATCGCATTTTAGTCGGTGCTGCTTGCCAACGAATAGTTTATCAGTTCTGTTAAGTTCCATTATTATTGCGAAGTAGTTGTGATTTGTTAGGAGAATAAAGCACTCCACCATTACGGGGATGTGCATGGGTAGTTAGAAGCACTTGTGGCTGGTTAGTAGCTAGGTTGTTATTTGCTTTGGAAGGTCTTTTGAACGTTGCCTATATAGGCTAAGAATGAATGAGAATAAGGCAAGCATTATTTGAAACCCAAGAACCCTCTGGTAGTCTCGCCAAGAAAGGAGAATCTGGCTAACTCCGGCAAAGAAAGAGGAGATATCCATTCATACAATTTCGATCCGTATCAAAGTCCTACATCCACATTAATGAAAAATTTGTTTGGCACCCCTCCCCTATGGCTTTTCTAGGTGTAGTATTAAGCATTAACTTCATTTTGTGCCCTTCTTTTCTTCCTCTACTTTCAAACCAAGACAGACTTACATTCATTCTCCCTATCCGTCGGATTGTCTTATCGTTCCCCTTCATCCAAATGTACCCTTAGCCCAAACAAAATCAGCTGAAGGGTCAAATATTGTGTTTTTTATTAAATTTACCACCAATATGGCGGATTAAAAAGTATTGACAAGTATATTGTGTTTTGGAGAAAAAGTTAGGCGAGGCCACCTGAGACTGAGGCGTCACCACTTGAGACTCAGGTGAATAGGTGGGAAGAAAGTCCCAGGTGTTGGCGCCTGAGACTGAGGTGGTACCGCCTGAGACTGAGGTGGTACCACCTAAGACTGAGGTGGCACCGCGAAGAACAATCCTAATTCTAACCCTGAAACCCTAAACCCTAAACCCTGAACCCTAAACCAGCGAATTTTGTATCAGTTATTCACACCACAAATGGCTAATAGGTAAGAGACATATTTATTTTTTAATTATATTATTCAAATGCTATTATGATTGTGTTTAGTTTAATTAGTGAGTTTTTCTGTAGTGATTTTAGAAGATTTGAACTAATCGTTCAGTGGAAATCGGAGAAAGTAGAGGATAATTTGGGCGTCAAATTCGTTGGTGGTGGTAGTTTTCAGTTGACGGTTTTTCAAATGTAATAGTTGTGGTTTGAAGTAGTTGTTGTTTTTCAAATAGTTGTTATGGTTTAAGAAGGTTGTTGTTTTTCAAATGTAGTAGTTGTTGTTCTTGGCCAAATTATAAAATGTCCGAGTTGTTGTTTGTTATTTGTTGTTCCGAATAGTTATCGCTAATAACATCATACATGAATGTAAAAATAGTTCAAGGAATAGTCCACAAACATAAATAGTACACATAATAGTCCACATAACACATAAATAGTCCACATACATATCCCAAATAATAATAACATAACAAAAATCCAAAAAAACTCTAACGACGACCACCATGCTGATCCATGTCGAGGATGATCAGCCCCAGCATGATGATGGTAGGCCTAAACGGATCAGGGTGCCAGTGAGGTGTGGTACCGACGGCGACGGCCATCTAGTGGATCAGCATGGTGGTCGTCGTGGTGGTGATCGTTAGAGTTTTTGTTTTGTATTTTTGTTATGTTATTATTATTTGGGATATGTATGTGGACTATTTATGTGTTATGTGGACTATTATGTGGACTATTTATGTTTGTGGACTATTCCTTGAACTATTGTTACATTCATGTATGATGTTATTAGCGATAACTATTCGGAATAACAAATAACAAACAACAACTCGGACATTTTATAATTTGGCCAAGAACAACAACTACTACATTTGAAAAACAACAACCTTCTTAAACCATAACAACTATTTGAAAAACAACAACTACTTCAAACCACAACTATTACATTTGAAAAACCGTCAACTGAAAACTACCACCACCAACGAATTTGACGCCCAAATTATCCTCTACTTTCTCCGATTTCCACCGAACGACTATTTCAAATATTCTAATATCACTACAGAAAAACTCACTAATTAAACTAAACACAATCATAATAGCATTTGAATAATATAATTAAAAAAATAAATATGTCTCTTACCTATTAGCCATTTGTGGTGTGAATAACTGATACGAAATTCGCTGGTTTAGGGTTCAGGGTTTAGTGTTTCAGGGTTAGAATTAGGATTGTTCTTCGCGGTGCCACCTCAGTCTCAGGTGGTACCACCTCAGTCTCAGGCGGTACCACCTCAGTCTCAGGCGCCAACACCTGGGACTTTCTTCCCACCTATTCACCTGAGTCTCAGGTGGTGACGCCTCAGTCTCAGGTGGCCTCGCCTAACATTTTCTCCAAAACACAATATACTTGTCAATACTTTTTAATCCGCCATATTGGTGGTAAATTTAATAAAAAACACAATATTTGTGTCATTCTCCCCCTTTTTTCCTCCTCCTTTTCTTTGGGTTCAATTCTCGATGGTATTTCTAAATTCCATTTCTTGTTAGTGTACACATTACACAACCCCATATAGTAATTATATTGACATTGTCATTTCTTTGCATCTTTTTTCTTAAATGAAGTTTCTTTGCATCTTAATTACCATATATCCTTGTTATTATTTTGGCATCACACCTCGGCTAATATATTAAATGATGATTAGAGTAATTAATAATCCTGGTTTATGTCATGTTTGCCATTGACAGAGACAACTACAATAGATCAAACCCTGATCACCATCGGGTCGCATTGACTCGTTCTCAATTTAACCCGCTTGACATAACGGTGATTAAGGTACACAACAAATAGAACGTACGATGAACATTAATACCATATATATACACAACGTCACTTTCTAATGTTATTATTTTTCTTAATTAATTGTTATATATGTATGATTTAGGAAAAGAGAGAAGGGGTCTTTGTGGATTTAGAATTCACACTTGGAAGGCCGAGCTGGCAAATGGATGCAGCCAATTACTCGGCTGAATCTTCAAACCACAATGAGTTGACTCTTCTCAAGTGCTAATCATGTCAAAGGATGAGGAGGAGAAGAACAAGAAGAAAAGTTAACCTGATTGCGCACTAATTAACACAGAAGAGATTAGAATTAGAACTACCCATCCTAATCCGTCCTCATTAATCTCTCTTCTATATTGTTGTATTTTTCAACTATCATGCACTGACCAAATTATATCTAATCCAAAAGAATTATCTTGTTCTTCTTCAAAGTCAATTGGTTTTGTCTCTTGTTCTTCTTCTAAGTCAATTGGTTTTGTCAAGTTAATCGCGTGATAATTAAGGCGGCAAACAGAAAATGTTTTTACGACTCTATCGATCTGTAGACCCCATGAAAACTTTGCTGATGCGGAACGGTAACAACACACGAGACAACGATTTTACGTGATATCCTCGATCGATTGATTGATCGAGACTAATCCACGGTGAGCTCATAAGAGCTCACAACTGATCTCTTATTAGGATACATGCTTACGACAATCTCGTAGCTAAGCTTATATAGAGAAAGACCTAGGGTTAAAACCCTAATCCAACGAATAAGACGAGGACCAACAAGGCCCAATACTAACACAATTTAAGTAACCGCAACACTCCCCCTCAAGTGAAGACATGAATGACAAGAATGTCGAGCTTGAAGAAGTAAATGTGAAGAACAAGCATGATGGCTTGAACCACAAAACTCGAGATGAATACCATCTCAGACGAGGTTGATTGGAGACGACTCACTCTCTCCGAACAACCTGATGATGGAGACGATTGACTGAGTGTCTTGAACTTGAAGACACTTGGTACATCGCGGTTGACCTGATGACTGAATAGTCGATCGACGTATGTTGACCTCCTATTCTCCCCCTCAAGCTGGAGCATGAACATCGTGAATGCTCGGCTTGAAAAGCGATGAATGGTTGATATGTGCCCAATAATGAATCGGAAGAGGGGACGACCATTTCTTGGATCGTGAATGCCAACTGGACGATGAAGGGACGATGACTTCTCTGATCGTCTACCTTTTAAACGCCAGGGGACGACCATTTTATGAATCGTGAATGCCTCGACATGATACTTGACTATCTTTGCTTGAGGAAGTTCTCTATCACTCAAACACAAACAATGACAAGTGAAGGGTCAATCAAACTTTGGATTGAAAATACTTCACTGCTTGATTTTCTTGCCTGCAAACAAAAATAAAATATAACCGGCCAACCCGGCTGATGTTGCAAAAAAAACCACTGAAGCCCAAAATATTCATTTGGTAGCCAAGTAAAGCTCTTCCCAAAAAACAATAATTGAGCCCATAATGGCCACTTCGCCAACACTTGAAGTGTGAATGGATGCAGACCCAATTTTGAATTTTGGATGGTCCATTCATGAGTGAGGAAGGCCCGAAAGGATACCCTTCTGCCTCTTTGGCGATGACAGCTCATTTGGGGAAACCCTTCTCCCCAATGCGCCCACCTGAACATCAGCAACTAGGGATGACAATAAAATCCGAACCCATGGGTACCCACCCGACTCAACCCGGTCAACGCGGATAAAATCCGTGTTGACGGGTTTTGGGCTGGGTTTGGGTTTAAACTCGTTCACTATTCACCGGGTTGGGTTGGGTTTGGGTTTAGGTAAACCCGACCCATGGTTACCCGCCTACACCCATATAATTAATTTTCTCGGCATATTTAATATTCTAAACAACTAATCTTATTTATGTTTGTGGAGACAAGTCTAATTTTTTTTTTCTAGTTATGTAGAATGAAGTTGATGTTATTGAGTGGAGAGTGAAAAACTTAATTGAAAGGAAGAAGCTTTCGATTAATCATGTTATTTATGGATAATTTGTGATTTGCTTCAATTTTCTTGAGTTTTCTAGATTGGTGTTGAACAATTTGTGTAGTTAATTTGTGATTTGCTTGAATTTTCTAGAATGGTGTTGTATATATGGATAATTTGTATTGAGAGATTGATATTTGACTTTAATTTTGATAGGAATTTGTTATTGTGAATTTTTTGAGACAAAAACCCGTGGGTATCCATGAACCCGCGAATACCCAGCGAGTTGGGTTGGGTTTGAGTTTTTCAAACCCAATGGGTTTTACCCCGGTTTTTTTCACGGATAAACTCATGGGTTTGGGTTTGGGTTTGACAAAACCCGACCCAACCCGACCCATTGCCATCCCTATCAGCAACATCTCTTCTCTGGCGAAGAAATCAACGATGGCTGAACAGCGGGAGTAAAGCAACGAGGTGCTTTGAAGATGACCCTCCCTCAATTAAAACAAGCCCTTTAATTTCAACAACAATAGTGCCGAAATTGGAACCATTCGAAGTTTTTGCTGGATTTGGCTTATGCGCTGGGACACACCTTAGATGGTGTCTACCTTTGACTGGACAAGGTTTCGTTGACGATGGAATCAGTAAAGATCATGACCGGTGAAGACTTGACAAGCCGCAGGATGGAAAACACGATGCTGGATTTCACCGAGACGCGTTCAATGCTAGATCTCAACTCGGTGGTCGTCTGAAGCAGCAGCTCTACATATGGTAACAAAACTCGAACCCACGGGTACCCACCCGACCAAATCCGGTCAACGCGGGTAAAATTCATGTTGACGGGTTTTGGGCCGGGTTCGGGTTTAAACCCGCTACACTATTGACACGCCAAAACACAACACCAAACTGCGACCAAGTGTAATCGCAGTCCGGGAATGCAGTAACAGGCAGGTTCTATTATCAACCCGGGGTCTAGATCTACTGTTTACTCTGTGATTATTTATTATCTAACCAACTAAGTCGAGTGATTTGTGTTTAAACTAAAAGCAGCAAGAAAGCAGGAAATTATTCGGTTTTCTCAAGCAGGAAAGAGTCACTCGGGAATGAGTCCCCCTAGCTCCTTAGTTAGATTTCAATTGTATTTCCCTGGGTTGATTTACTGTTGATTAGACTGCGGAAGATCCGACAGTAGCTTGGAATCTCTTAAGCTGACCAAGCCCTCTCAGTCTAACTACCCGGCAGACGACTAGTCTTCACCGGGATAGAAAGCTGAAGCAGTAAGAACAGAACTCCACTACTGGAATTGAATTCCAGTACAAAGCAGTAAACTGGCTAACTCTCCTATAGCCAATCTCCTACTATCGAATGAAGAGACTCTAACAACCTAATCAGATTCTATCTATCTCAGGTTGCAGCAGAAATCAAGAAAAGTTGATCAAACTTCAATTGACTCAATAAACATGCATCATTCGATTAAAATCAAACAGTAATATCATTCCAAGTCATTACAATCAATCCCTAACACATAGAACTAGGATTCTTCATCCCCAAGTGAGAGAGGGGTTCTACTTCATAGAGAGAGAGGAAAACAGTAATCGGAGTAGTCATACTCATAAAGATGAGGAAAATCTGCTCCGGGATGATGATTTCCACTCCTAGGACGATCTCCAAGCTCGATTCAATGAAACCCAGCTCCAAGATAGCTTCTAGGATGTGTTCTTCGTACTTTCTCTCTCTAGGGCTCTGTTTTTACTCAAAAAGTCCGATCTTCTCACTTGTGGCTCGAAATTGGCTGAAAAACCAAGATTTCCCGACTCACACGGGCAGGCCACACGGCCATGTGGCTCACCCAGTTGTTCGTGTGAGTCAAAACGCGGCGTATCAATTAGTTCGATCTTAGGCTTCCCACACGGCCAGGGTCGCACGGCCGTGTGGGATTTCCATCATGCCCGTGTTTGCTCTCGACGAAAATCACACGGCCACAAATGTGAGTTGCACGGCCGTGTGATGTCCAGGAATGCCCGTGCGGCTTCCTTAGCACCTCGCCACGCGTCCGATCTTTGTCCAATCGACCCCAAACTCGCTCCCAAGCCTCCATTCACGTACTAGGACCTGAAATATCACAAACAAGCACAACCTAGCGTAAAATCGGCCTAAAACACGAGAATCAACACCTCAAACGGTGTAAGAACAGGGGTAAAAACATGTGTAATTAACGGTCTATCAAACTCCCCCACACTTAACTGTTTGCTTGTCCCCAAGCAAACCAAGTCAGATACAAGGTAAGCTTACATATTTCAATCAACCAACATTGGGGACAAGTCATAAAGGCACAGAACACGTGAATCGTACTGGTTTTCAAACATCAATACCTGACCAACTTCAATAGCAACCTGGACAACCACCACAAAGGACATTCGAGTGCAGCAAAATCGAGTAAAGGAAGAGTCTCCCTTCTGTTCACCAACCGACCTAGACTTGACTCAACCACTTACTCAAAACAGTCAACTCATGCATCCAACTCAAGACATCAGAATAGAGACCGACCAATCTAGGTCCTCACCGGGGTACAAGAGTATATAGAATATGAAAATGAATTACTCACTCTCGACCAGTGGGGTCAGGACAATTTGATGCGAAAAATGCGCATGTTATTTCTCTCAATCCCTAGCATCTCTTCACCATGATGGCAGCCTCTAAATGCTAGAGTTCACATAAGGGGTGTCACCACTAACTAATCAGGAGGTCTTAGACACAGGTTCAAATGACTGGCTAGGGTCTTGGACATGGGGAAAAAGCCTTTTAGGTGGTGGAAGTATTCATAGCACAAGGTTCCACATTTCCAAACCCACACAATCACAGTCAAACAAACCGGTATTTCCTTTCTGCTATTCTGCATTACTCAATATCTCAAGAGCACAAGAGCGAAGGAGGTATAAATGTCAGCATTTCCAAGCCAGACTGCTAAGAAACACTACTTACTGGGCATTATTCAGATTTTTGGTAGTGGCTCTCTTTGCTTTCAATTTTTCTTTGTTTTTTTCTTTCATTTTCTTTTCATTTCTTAAGAGAGCCACCACTTCTGCACATATTTCAAACACATGCCCAGCCCAACTTTTAAGCACTACCTCCAACACTCACATCAAATTTAGCAAAAACAGCAGAGAATATGTAAAAACCACTCTGTGGAACCTTCTAAAAGATGCAAAAGGGTGATTTTTTTTTCATTTCAAACCAAAAGAAAGGATAACACACGGCTCAAAAGGGCTGACCAGGGGATATGACACATCAGGACAGTCAAATTTGGTCGTGGGCTAATCCTATGCCCCCATCATCTTAGCTAGTGACAACGTGAATGCTACACATCATGGAAGAGGGATCTATCGCACAAGAAAGAAACGAGCAGGCTCAAATCTCACATGGCTACCTATATGCTCTATCTCACATTCTGATACCCTGAACTAGATGCATAAACGACTGTCAAGAACAAGTAATCAATCCAAGTCACAGTTGGTAAGCAAACAGTTGAAAAACTGAACCCCTACACAATTCTACTGCACGTCTCAGTCCTCATCAAAGGTTGTCCTAGTCACAATCAAGCTGTCATGCATCAATCCGAAAACCATTCAATTCACCAATCAAAACACAGTGCCAATATGATCAAACAGCAGTACTTGGAGCCCTCAAATCATAAGATTCGGACAGCGGACTAGGCTCCAAGCACCCAAATATATATTCCAACCGATACAAAGCACCCCCCCACACTTAAGCACGACATTGCCCTCAATGGAGTAGAGAGAGAGATAAGGGGAACAATGTTACCGGATTGAAACTGGTTGGGGACTGGAAGTGGACCAGTCAGCGAGAAACAAACGGGAAGATGGACAGTTCTGCACGAATCGAACACCAAGAACACACTAGCACACGTTGTGTTAGGGATAAGTGTTAGCCCAGACGGCTACAGCAAAAACAATCCACAAAAGAAAAACAAAAACAAAAACAAAAACAAACGACACTAAGTTCAAGCTCCTCACACATGGAGCAAACACACAAAAGTCTAATACGGAAAACAAAACACACTGAGATGGGCAACGAGTACAGCCTACTCGTCACCAAGATCACCAAAGTCGATGTCGTCCATGAAGGCGTCATCACCATCAGCACCATCCGCTGGGGGAGGTGGAAGTGGAGAGTCCTCCCAGGGAGTCCTCCAAACGGGCTGCTCGCCCGGTAGCAGCCGAAGTAAATGCTGCTGGACCTCCTATATGCGCCGTGAACGGCGCTTCTCTCGCTCGATGTGTGCGAGAGTCACTCCCTGCTGGGTCTGGATCTAGTCCAATCTCTCATCGTAAACAACCATCCTCTGGTGGTACTCGGCCTGGTGAGCCGCGTACTGCTGCTAGAACTGCATCTGATGGTCGAGGATCTGCTGGTTCTGGAGACGCAGCTGCTCGAACTGGGAGGTGAAGTAATCCTGCCCCGGGAAAGCGGAGCTGCCACCTCCGTAATGGAAGTGAGTCTGTGGTGGATCAATAGCAGCGTCCACATCCTCGGGCTCCACATGATCAGCAACCTCATCCTCCTGGCCCTCTGGCTAGTCCTCCTGCTAGTCCTCCGCGGGGATCTGAGGTTCCGGAAACCCCTCGATCCATAGAATGCCGCGGTTCTCTCGCAGCAGGTGCATGTGACTGAGCGTCGACCTGCCAAAAACGATGGTGTCCCCCTGCTGTGTGCACCCCTTGCAGGGAAAGGCCGAAGTAGGTGGCCAGGCGGGTGATGAGGGGGGTGCAGTGGAGACTATTCAGTTCCGAAGCAGTCTTCTCGAAGGTCCTGGCCACCACCGAACCCAAGTGGAGGGGATGGTCGTGCTGGCGGATCGACTGGATGAGGTACAGGGCCCTCTTGGTGATGGCACTGGCACTGTCTGAAGCTGGAGTATAAGACTTCGCCAGTAGGTGGTGGAGAAGGCGGTTGTCGAGCTGCAGTGTAGTGGCCTTTGTCCTCCCGGCCGAGAAGGGACGTGTCTGGCCTGGCCGAGCCAGGCGGGTGTACAGCCTCCTAAAGTCCACCTCCGGCGGGTCGTTGACCTCGGTGACGTAGTCCGCACCGTCGTCGAGGTCGAGAGCCTCGGCCAGCTCGTGGTAGCTCATGGACCGTGGGGCACCGCCTAGCCTGAATTTGACGGCTGCACCGTCTCTCCAATCGTCCGTGGGTGTGTGCTTGAAGGTCGTGTAGAACTCAAGCACGGGCTCATAGTAAACCTTCTCGCAGATGGAGAGCAGACGGCGCCATGGGTGGTTGGTGACGGCGGCGGAGAGTTGCTCGTAGCAGTGCAATTCCCGAAACTCCCGTTTGGACCAGCAATGGTGCTGCCCAAACGGGCATTTCAGGACCTGCTTGAAGCGATCCTGGGCGGGCCCCCTCTTCAAATCCCGGATGAACGGGTGCTTGAGGTCAGGTTTCGACATTTTCCTGCAAAAGAACAACCCAAAGTGGAACCAAAAGAGCCAAAGAAAGGGTCAATTACACCCCCACACTTAAGAACTGAAAACAGCCGAGCCATGGTTTCATCCATAGTTCGGGGGGTCAAAAACTCGATAAATCAAGCATAATCTGAGTGGGGGTGCACATTCACGATAAAGTAGGCAACTTAAGGTTCACATCCATAGCAAACACACCCTCAAAGCACATCAATAAGGGCCACAACCGGTGCTCACAACATAGCATGAAAAACAGGCATTTCATCGAACACCTTGTGTGCACTATTAAGGTAAGCATGAAATTGGCACAATTATTGCACACAAGGGCTCAAACAATCAAGAGGGACTTTGCCCAACACAATTCAAACACACTCCATGCATTCCCCTCAATCAATTGCACAAAAATCAAGATTCAATGAGGTTCTTTAAACATGCACCCTAACACCCAATTCTCCACAATTAACATAGTTAAGGGCAAAATCAAACCTGGAGACTCAAGTAGAGGTGTAGGGGATGATGAGGGGAAGGCGATGGAAGCGACGAAACGCCGAAAAAGTGCCCGGAAGTGCTCGTCGGAGCCTCACCGGAAATTGCCTCCGGCGACAAAAAAGTCGGCCAAATCTGCTCAAAATGGAGGGATAGGCCGCTTTTGGTGTAGGAAGGGTGAGTTTGTTGTTGGTTTGGTGGAAAAATGACAAAAAATGGCCAAAAAATCGAAAAGTGTGGTTTTGTCGCGGTTTTCCGGCGAGGATCAGAGGATTCCGGCGAGGATTTTACAAATTTCTGACCACTCGGCCGTGCTGGCCGATTACATAGGCCGTGGCTCGCCCACACGGGCAGGCTCGCACGGCCGTGCGAGGTGCAAGTTTGCCCGTGTTGGCCGACACGGCCAGGCCGAGGAATTCCACACGGCCCTGCGAGTTGCACTTTTGGCCGTGTGGAATTTGTCGAGAGCTCGCACGGCCAATGGAAAAAATCCACACGGCCGTGCGAGCAGACGAGTTGCCCGTGTCGGCCACACGGCCAGGCCAGGCCAATCCACACGGCCGTGCTAAATGCACTTTTGGCTGTGTGGAATTTGTGGAGGGCTCACACGGCCAGGGGATAAAATCCACACGGCCGTGCGAGAATATGGCCTGGCCGTGTGAGCTGCTGGAGCCCCGAATTCAACCTGTTTCCACCCAAAAACGACAGTCGACTCTGGAACAACATCTCAAGACTAAAAAACACAAAAAAAAAACAAAAGGAAAAATGTAAGAAAAAGCAAACCTCGGTGGGGTTGCCTCCCCACAAGCGCTTCTTTACCGTCTTTTAGCTAGACGCCAGTAGAGGAATTAAGGGTCCTCGAGCTTGATCAGCAGCTCTGCGCGCTCGACAACACCTCCCAAATACAAATTTAGGAGGTGGCCATTCACCTTGAATGGCTCGGTTTGAGCATTGCTGATTTCCACCGCACCATGCGGGAAAACATGGGTGACCGTGAAGGGTCCCGACCACCTCGAACGGAGCTTGCCCGGGAAGAGTTTCAGGCATGCATTGAAGAGCATAACACGATCACCTACCTGAAACTCCTTCGGGCCCCTCAACCTTGCGTCATGGAGACGCTTGGTGCGCTCTTTGTAGAGCAGGGTGTTCTCGTAGGCGTGGTAACGCCACTCCTCCAACTCCAGCAGCTGCAACTTACGTTCTGTACCTGCAACACTCAAATCCAGGTTTAGCAGCTTAATGGCCCAGAAGGCCTTGTGCTCTAGCTCTACCAGCAAATGGCACGCCTTCCCATAGACAAGCCTATAGGGAGAAGTGCCAATCGGATTTTTATAGGCAGTCCTATACGCCCAAAGAGCATCATCGAGCTTGGTGGACCAATCCTTGCGGGACTGATCCACCGTCTTTTCAATAAGTCGTTTTAGCTCCCGGTTCGTCAGCTCGGCCTACCCATTTGACTGGGGATGGTAGGCCACCGACATCTGATGCTTAACACCATAGCGAGAGAGGAGTTTAGTGAATTGCCCTTGAAAATGGGTTCCTCTATCACTAATGATGGCGCGGGGTGTCCCAAACCGGGAGAACAGCTGCTTCAGAAATGAGCAGACCCGTCTTGCATCATTGGTGGGCATGGCTTGAGCTTCTGCCCACCTCGAGACGTAGTCTACTGCAACCAATATCTCCAGATTTCCAAAAGATGGAGGGAATGGGCCCATGAAATCGATACCCCAAACATCAAAAATTTCACAAATAACAGAGATATGTTGGGGCATCTCATCCCGGGAAGAAATGTTACCTGACCTTTGGCAGCGGTCGCACTGGCGTGCGAAGGAGTCTGCATCCTTGAAGAGCGAGGGCCAATAGAAGCCCGACTGTAGCACCTTCCGTGTCGTGCGGTTACCTCCATGATGACCTCCAGTAGGTCCCTCGTGGCATTGAGACAGGATGTCTCCCATCTCGTGCTCCATGACACAGCGCCAGATCACGCCGTCTGCTTCGATTCTGAAGAGGTAAGGATCCTCCCAGAAGTAATGCTTCAGATCGGAGAAGAACTTGCGCTTTGCATGAGTAGCCATCCCCTTGGGTAACTGCTTGCCCACCAGATAATTGGCAAAGTCAGAATACCAAGGGGCCACACTATCCACCAGGGTCATCGCCAGCAATCGCTCACCCCGGAAGGAGTCGTCGATCTCTTCCTCGAAGTTGTCCACCGGAGGGGCTTCCAACCGTGAGAGATGATCTGCAGCAACATTCTCGGCTCCTTTCTTGTCCCGGATCTCGATATCAAACTCCTGCAGCAGCAGGATCCATCGGATGAGCCTAGGCTTAGCATTAGCCTTGCTCATCAGGTAGCGAATCGCCGAGTGGTCAGTGTAGACCCACACATGGGAGAGCACCAAATAGGGTCGGAACTTGCAAATGAATACACCACAGCGAGGAGCTCCTTCTCTGTGGTGGTGTAATTCTCCTGTGCATCGTTCAAGGTCTTGGACGCGTAATAGATGGGCTGGAAGTGCTTCTCGCGCCTCTGACCTAGAACTGCTCCGACTGCATAGTCACTTGCGTCGCACATCAGCTCAAAAGGGAGAGACCAGTCAGGAGTCACCATGATAGGTGAATGGGTAAGCTTCTCCTTCAGAGTCTCAAATGCAGCTGTGCACTCGGGAGTGACCTGAAATGGTGCATCCTTCTCTAGCAGCTTGGTCAAAGGCAGGACAATCTTCGAGAAATCTTTGATGAAGCGCCGGTAGAAGCCTGCATGACCTAGAAAGCTGCGAAGCCCCTTCACAGAAACAGGAGGAGGTAGCTGACTGATCGTCTCAATCTTCGCGCGATCCACATCAATCCCCTGCTTGGAGATCTTGTGCCCGAGCACAATACCCTCACGAACCATAAAATGGCACTTCTCCCAGCTGAGTGCCAGATTAGTCTCCTCGCACCTTTTCAGAACGAGTTCCAGGTTATGGAGACAGTGAGTGAAGGAGTCTCCATATACCGAGAAATCATCCATGAAGACTTCCATGATCTCTCCAACCAGTCGGTCGAAGATCGCCAGCATGCATCTCTGGAAGGTCGCCGGTGCATTACACAGCCCAAATGGAATCCTCCGGTAAGCAAAGGTACAGAAGGGGCAAGTGAATGTGGTCTTCGCCTGATCCTCCGGTGCAATAGGAATCTGGAAGTAACCAGACATGCCATCCAAGAAGCAATAGAACTCATGGCCAGCCAACCTCTCCAGCATCTGATCAATGAAAGGTAAGGGAAAATGATCTTTCCTGGTGGCGTCATTCAGGCGCCGGTAATCGATGCAGACTCTCCAGCCGGTCACGGTCCGCATCGGGATCAACTCCTTCTTCTCATTCGGGACCACAGTCATCCCGCCTTTCTTCGGGACCACCTGAGTGGGGCTGACCCACTTGCTATCAGATATAGCAAAGATGGTCCCTGCATCCATGAGCTTCACAATCTCTACCCGGACCACTGCGTCCAAGTTAGGAGACAATCTCCTCTGTGGCTGCCTGACTGGCTTAACCTCATCCTCCATCAAAATTCCGTGGGAGCAGAAGGATGGGCTAATGTCTCTAATGTCTGTGATCTTCCATGCCATGGCCCGGGCATACTTCTGCAGCAGAGCCACCAGCTTGCTCTTCTGCTCGGGTGTCAGATCCGAGCTAATAATAACCGGGAGCTTATTCCCCTCCCGGAGAAATGCATACTCCAGGTGAGATGGGAGGGGCTTAAGCTCCAACTCTGGTGGCTCCTCCAATGATGTAGCGAGCCGGGACGAGATGGGTATCGGCTTGAATGGTATCTCTCGCCCCTCGATCGCAGCCTCGTCCAGCTCTGCCAGCTGCTCCTCCAGCTGCACATCCTGTGATGCCTGTTTCCCTAGCAAAAGACAATGCTCAAGGAAATCATCAGTACCCGCACTCGTGATGGCGAGTGCGGTCTCAAAATCAGCAACAACATCACAGTAATCTAGATCATCATGGAGCTGGGGGTGTTTCATATTATCAGAAACAGAGAAGGTGATTTGTTCACCCCCAGCTCTCAAAATCAGTTTTCCATCATTAACATCAATAAGCGCCTTGGCGGTGGCGAGAAAAGGTCTACCCAGTATCAATGGCACATCAACATCCTCATTTATGTCCAAAATCACAAAATCAACAGGATATGAAAATGGCCCTACTGCGACTATCAAGTCCTCTACTATACCCCTAGGATGCACAATGGATCTATCAGCAAGCTGGATGCTCATCCTAGTATCACTGGGTTCACCTAGGCCTAGCTTTTTAAACAGTTTATAAGGCATGACATTTATGCTAGCGCCTAAATCCGCCAAGGAACCCACCAAATCTCTCAATTCCGCCATCGGGTCACTCTGTACTGGAGCTGCAGGTGCTGCTCCTGCCTGCTGAAATGGTCGCACCTGGGACTGAGGTGGAACTGGCCCCTGTCTGGGCTGGTAGAGAGGCTGCTGAAATTGCCCCTGTCTGGGCTGGTACGGAGGCCTCTGGAAGCCAGGTGGTCCCTGGGGAGCTGGTGGTTTGGGATTTGCCCCAGCCCAAGAAAAGTTAGGATGCTGGCGCCACCCCTCGTTATAAGTGTTGCTGTAGGGGTCGAAGCGCCTGGCATTACTGATAA